CTAGAAGAGCACTTCAAGAAACATAAGTTTAATGCTGGTGAACATTTTGAAGGTGGGAGAAAGCGGCCAAAATGCTGTGATAAGAACGCTCAAGGGAGCATGTGTGGCAGTGGGGGGCGGGGAGGACTGAAGAGCAATGTTGAGAATGACGGACCTGAAGCATCCATCTGCAGCAATGTGGCAGTGTACAAAAAGTTGGAAGCCTTAAATGCATTTTTTTAGATAATTTAAAACTCTGCATGTGTGTCCTTAAAAGTATGTGCCAAGATTTCTGACAAGTGGTAGCCAGACACTAAGGGATTAAAAACAGGCTCCCCATGGGATAAAGAATTATTAATATGGGGTAGGCTTAGTCTGGTTATAATATCTTTTCTTTCCAGTATTGGAGCAGGGATCATCCCAAACTGTGTGCAGACAGCAGTCACCAGAAATTTTCCTGTAAACACAGAGAACAAGGCAGAGAATGCTCACAGCAGCCTGCCGCTGTTAGTAACTGCTGTCAACGTCGCATTCCCTGGAAGGCTGAAAATACATTAACACTGAGGAAGGGCAGTGTGAAATTATGTGCTCCAACACTCTGGTGAGCCAAGTGCTCCTGTTTAGAGGAGCCCCTGTGTTTTGGACAGTCTTGGATATAACTTTGTGTTTCTCCAGCCTGCCATGCAATGGGGACAGGGATGATGCTGAGCTCCTGGGCCACCTCCTCCATCGAAGAAGTTGCTGAAGCAGCTCCAGCTGGCCTTCGCTGGCTGCAGCTCTACGTCTACAAGGACCGGGAGGTTACCAAATCCCTTGTGAAGCGTGCGGAGAAAGCAGGTTACAAAGGGATCTTTGTGACAGTGGACACGCCATTCCTCGGCAGGCGCATCGACGATGTGCGCAACAAGTTCCAGCTTCCTCCCCACCTCCGGTAGGTGCCTGGTGGTGGGATGTGGAACAGGAGCGTGGCAGTGCCATGGGCACCATTAGTTGCTGGGGAGAAACTTGTCTCTAGCACAATAAACTTCTGCCAGGTGCCATACTGTCCTGGCTTCAGCTGAGACAGAGTTAACTTTCTTCTAGTTTTGAATTTTATCAATGGATGTGAAGTGTTCTTCCTATGTTTCCTAAGGCTGTTATGTTATGCCATGTATATACCATATGTAACATGTACATAGGAAGAAATATAATATCGCATCCTGTGGTCTCTCTTCTTTTTCGTAATGATCAATTTGAAGGTAAGCCATGGGACTGTGCAAGGAATTTGATTCTTCACCTGGCAGGCAAAGATAACCTCCAGAGCTTGGGATGTTGGATGCATCCCATACGCCTGCACTTGAAGTTAACAGATGATATGATGAAGGCTGACAGAGCAACCTTAACTCTGCCTGTGATTTCTGTGTTGAAGTACAATATTAGGAGGAAAGCTCCACAAAACAAAATCACTGACACATCTAACATTAAAACATAGTATACTGGTATGTATATGCCCTGTATAGTAATCCTGCTATGGATCTGTGATGGACAAAACATTATTGATACACATTGTCTTTTTACCTAAACAACAACAACAAAAAAGCTTTTTTTAGGAGCAGTATAATGTTAAGGCCTGGGGTTAAAGAGGTTTTGAATGCGAGTCAAATAACCCAAAAATATTGAGGAAAGTAATAGAGCATTTCTGAAACACTTTGACAGCACTTGACCGAACCGTAACAAGGTTTTGTTTGAGTGAACCATATGAAGTAATATGAAGTTGGAGTAATCTTGAAAGGCTCAAATTAATCACTTCAGGTTTCAGAATGACACTCGGACGTTATTTTGTTGCAGAGTCGGTGGTGAGACTCTCTTAGTGGGGGGCTCTTCCCAGTTATGTGACTTTTTCTTGGCTTCGGGATCTCAACAAAGTTTCAAAGTAGTAACAAGGTGCCATTGTGCTCAGAAATGTATGTAAGGCAACATTCATTCAAATGTTGATCTGCATTTCACGGGCCAAGAAAAACAACAGTTATTTATATAATCTTATCCCTGGTTCTGTTTTTCTCTGGGAACCCCACCCTCTGCAAACCAGCAGCTGAAAAGCTGGATCGTGCTGAGAGCCTGCTCCTTTCGCTTTTTCTTCTGGGCCTGGAGCTGAAGAGAAAAGCCGTGTGAAACATTGCTTGTTGCAGGCATGAAATCAGCCATAGAACTAACCAGTTGCCATTCCATCTGGAATATGGATATAAAATAGCACAGTGTAGGATGAGATACAGTTTCAGACGCACAGAACAATCAGCCATGTGTGGGATATGGGTGTCCTTGGTGGTCCTGGTGTCACTGAGGGTGGTTTAGTGCTTGTGAGCACTCGGGACTGCTTCAGCTTTCTGATACAAGTGCAGCTGAATTTCTCTCTTTGCCCTCCTTTCCTCTTCTCCTGCTTTGTCTAGTAAGGCTGTGAGCTCTTTGGTGCAGGGGCTGCGCTTTATCATTCAGCTCCTAGAACTGGTGAGATTGATTTGGTGCTAAAGAGCAAATAATAGCTAATGTTTTCATGTGAAATCCTTTTCCACCCCCTACGTTTTACAAGGAAACATACAAAAAAGACAAAAGATGAGCTGGCAGGGTGCTGGTCTTGTCAGACATGAAAATTCTGAATTCTTTGTAAGGCTTCATGCAGATACACCTAATTCACGGAGCTTAACAAAATTTCCCTTCTTTTTTCTCCCCTCCCCCAGTTCCCAATCCCCTATTCCTCCAGTAGCTGAATCTACTGGATTAAAACAAACCAACCCCCAGAAACAACAAAAAACTTGCTGCATTAAAGCAAAGGGGGTTTTTGCTGTAAGCAGAAGTGCACTTCTTGACTTCAGTGAGTTCTGGGCTAGGTCAAGCAAGATCAATGTTCTTGTCTCAAATCCAGCCTGTACTGCTCTGGGGTCTGAATGTCCCACAGCCTCTGATGCATTTATCCTCACAGATATTGTTGTTCCTATTTCATGGTGGGAAACGGAGGCAAAACAAGTGGCTAAGTGTCATGTCCAAAGTCACAGGGGATGCCTGTGTCAGGGCAGATGCTTGAGCCCAAATCAGTGCTCTCACTTCCTTCTGATTGTAGATTTGATGCGGAACCTTTAGATTTTGGACTTTATCCTTTATCCTGTTGCCTTGGGCCAGAGAAGCTTGCACCAATGTTATCAAATGCTTTGCCAGCCAAAGGTTTCAGCTTACTAATGACTATGATCTGACATGCTGGGAGAGAAATTCAGCTGCACTTGTATCAGAAAGCTGAAGCAGTCCCGATGATGCTCTGCAGTGCAGTAAAAATTTAACACAGGTATATGGAATGCTGGCATTAGGACTGACTTGTGGCTACAATGAATCTTTCTCAGATGATTTTTCTGTCTTTTGTCATTTTAGTATGAAAAACTTTCCAAGCAACAACCCGGTATTCACCTCAGGGAAAGACTTTGGAGAAAATAGTAGCCTGGCTGTGTACGTAGCTGAGGCGATTGATGCAAGCCTCAACTGGGAGGACATCAGATGGCTTCGGGAGCTGACCTCACTGCCCATCGTTGTGAAAGGAATCCTCAGGGGTGTGTAGCTCTCCTGCTTCCCATGGGGAAGGCGAGGCATCGCTTCTCACAGAGGCACCAGGAAAGGAAAAGGGCTTGTGCTGGAGAAATTTCTGTAAAACTGCATAGAATAGCATTGTTTTTTAATGGCAAGCATCTGCTTTGCTGATATGGAATATGGTGGGATGCACGTTCATATTTCTGTGCTGTGCTAAGTAGGGATATTTGCCAAAACAGAGCCAAAAACAAAGGGGAAGAGACCACCTCTTCCTCATGCATGGTTAGGAACCCAGCAACCAAGACACTTGCAGAAGCAGCTACTTAAGTAAGTACTCGGAGCTGTCAGATGGTTTGTGTGGCTGTGTGTGCCTGCCTGGATGCTTGTTAGGTAGGGACCAGAGCCACTGATCACTAAGCTAGTCAGTTGGTGGGATGGCATCACAGCAGTTCTATCTGAAATCAGATGCATTCAAAAAGATTGAACTTGCTCTGTTCATTGTGCCTGTGAAGTCTAACTCTGATCGGAGTGGTATGCTACTTAAAGGAAAGCTGGATTTCCATTCAGTCAAAAGGGCACTGAGCACAGTGAAGGGTTTCAGTAAGTACGGATTATTACTGTAATCATGTTGATAACTTTGGCTTGGAGAAAATAATTTAGCAAAATAATTTCTTAGTGATGAGTTGTGGGACATGGTAGAAAAAATAAAGGGCAGCAAAGTGGCTGCTAATCCAAAGTGGTAAAATGTTTTGCTCCAACATTTCAAATTACTTTTCTGGTCTTATTGCTTAAAGATAAAACTTTGGTCCATATTGAGATGGGGCTTTGGAAGGATGAAGCCCTAAGGTGGCTTAGCATTAGCTGGCAAAGGTTTTTTTAGTGATGCCAAAATTTCCTTTATCAGGGTGTCATAAGCTCCCAGTTACAGAAGGGCATATCTTGTTTGTTGTTTTTTCTAGCTGATGATGCTAAAGAAGCTGTAAAAATTGGGGTAAATGGTATCCTAGTGTCAAATCATGGGGCACGACAGCTTGATGGGGTCCCTGCAACTGTAAGTACTGATGCCAATATGCACCAGTGATGTCTGGTTTTCTCTACTTTTTGGCTTCTTGTTTGCTTTCTCTGAACACACGGTAACTGGAGGAAAAACCTGTAAATATGTGTGTTACATGCCTTAACCCATGAGCAGTAATCTCTCTCCACTTCTCTATGTATGTCACATCATACTCTGTTAGATACAGCCTCCCCTTGGTCAGATAAAAAAAACAAAACAGAACAGAGGAGGGTTTATGTGTGGCTGTTTCTTCAAGCTACCTGGGCACCCTGTCCTTGGGTGCAGCCCCCTGCATGGAAATCTAGAAGAGCAATTTCAGATAGTGTATTATTGTCAGTTAAATGTTTAGAAATTGGAAAGTCTTTAAGAAATGTTTTTCAGTCTTCTCTTTTATTTCTCCTTTCTCATCCTTTTTTGAAAACCCCCTGTTGCCTTTTGCAGTTCATTGAAGGTTGTGCTAGAGTTGTTTTTTCCCTTTTAATATTCTCCAGAGACTTCAGAAAAAATTGTTAAAGGCAGAATGAAGCTCTCAATTTTTCTCCTTTCAAATATTTTCACCTTTGGAAAAGCTACAGGGTGGTTAAATGACAGGTTTTTTCCTTTTCCTTGTTGTGCTACCCCATGCCTTTTCCAAAGGTGAAAAGGGATTTAAGAAGTTCTCAACTGGCAAAAAAGAAAGAAGGAAAGGAAAATGAAAAAGTATGTGTTTAGGCTGAAGGAAAACTCCCCAAATACCAGTCATCATTCATCCTTCTTCATTTGGTGTGGGAAAGCTGTGCAAGCACAAAGAGAATGAAAGGGAGGAGAATCAAAGCTCAGTTATGACACATTCCTAATGTGTCCTTGATGAAAAACCTCCTGTTTTCCATTATTATTTTCCGAAGGGAGAGGGGGACAGGTAAGCCTTTTTTTCACTGTGGAGTGTTTTGCATATGAAGTCTTATCTGCTGGCTCTGCTGTCTCCCTGGGATGTTACCCTTCTCCTGGAGACTTCTGCTCTCTGCGTATCTCCTCAGGGCCAGATGAGGATTTCCTCGGCTGAATTCCTTCACCCACTGATTTTCAGAGGTCTTCACATGGACCCATCAATCTCTTGGTTGTGTGGGCTGGTTCGTCACCCTCCAAGCCCTGCATTGGAGAAGTCAAATGCCAGCACAAAGGGTTTTCTAAATGGTTAATGATGTTGAGACATTGTCCTCTGAGATGCTCTGGCCTGACTCTGTCTCCAGGTACTCCTGGGGACTGGTAAGAACCCCCCTTGGTGTCAGAACTTCTCCAGTTTCAAAAGAGAGACAGAGCTTTTTCTTTTTTCAATGTGATTTTTGTGCTGTTGGAGAGTTTGCAGCTATTCAGTTTTAGACACCCTAAGGGGAACTGGATTTTCAGAGCATGGATGCCTAATACTTCTGAAAGGAATTTTTCTTCTGTAACTTCTGGCTTCTTTATCTATTTTCACCTTTCGAGAATGTAGTCCCCAGTTTCACTAAGAATATTTTAAAATCTTGGGTAAGTCCGTGTGTGAGGTAATTTAACAGGAAGAATGTATGAGGATATTAAAAACATCATTTTGGGAAATGAGAAAGTTCAAGAAATTAGAATTTTTTTATTTTTTTGCTACCTGTAGTAGATCAGAAATTAAACTTTCAAACTACTTCTTATGAGTTATTCCTTTGCAACGCCACAGTGCAGAGGAGAAGGCACTATTAAAGCTGACGTGTTCACTGGATTTCATCATACAAAGAACTGCATTTCACAGTGCAGTTTTTAAATGCAAATATCTGTATTGGATCATGCTAAATATTTCTGGTTTAGAAACATAATAATTTGCTTTAATTTCATAGGTTTTCAGAATGTCAGCGGAACCCAAGCTGGTTAATATTTCCAGAGTCTAGTTACACACTGAGGAAATGTATGTTTTAATTATGGTTTGCATCATACTTTAGTTATTATAGCACTTTAATGTTGGTACGGTTTGTCAGGATGTAGAAAGTGGTCTCTGTATATGGAAATAGACCCAAAATATGTTTGGCAAGAGAGCAAAACCAAAGGGAGGGGAAAAAAAATCATAGCAAGTGCCAAACTTCAAGAAAATTTTAATCCAAGTCTAAAAACAAACTGCAAAGTTTTTTTTGCCCCCAACTCCTAGTCATTTTTTATCCATTAGAAAGGAAATTAATTACATCCGTATTTGAAATAAATGAATTTGTGTGCCTTTTGTCTTACTACCACACACTGTTTCCAGTCTCCTTAGTACTTGGCTTCCAGTTTTGTGTCTTTCCTGATTTTCATGAATAGGAACTATGTAGGCGTTATAATAGGAACAGCAGTCATGTAATTAACGCTTGAGTCTTGAATTCAGGAGGCTGGTATCTTCACTGGGGCCTTTTGCATGGTATGGATATGTTACTTAACTCCCAGGTTACTTACTTGTAACTTAGGAACAGTAAAAATCCTTCTCCCCCTTACTTTATCACTGGTCTAGAGGATAAGTAGAGCTTGGTGAAAGTAACATTTACATGCATTAAAAGAAATTCACACCTTGCTCAAAATTCAGAGGAAAGATTTTTTTTTTCTTATATGAAGATGTTTACTCTACAATTCTCCCTGCAAGCAAGATTTATTTTCAAAAGGAAAAATATATTCATTAAATTTTTTCAGCCAACTCTAAGTTCCTCAGGGCACATCTTTCTCTTACTCCATGTCTATAGGTACAATGCCTGCCTCTGGGCTTCTGGATGCCAGCTGGTCCTTAGTATAAATGAATAACAAATTTAAGCAAGAAGGTGAAGATGATGACTTAAAAAGTGACAGTGATGCAATTTCATCCCCAAACCAGTGTACTCTGAAAGTTTGTGGGGTAATATCGAGGAAAGGCCTCCTCTGTGCTTGCTATTTCTTATATTCTTATATTCTTCCAAAGTATCTGATACTCGCTTGTGCTGGATACACATTGTCCTGCTTTCAGCTGAGACAGAGTTAACTTTCTTCATAGTAGCTAGTAAGATCACATGGCTATTTTGTGTGACCCTGCTAATTCTCATTCTATTTGTGTGACTTTCCAAATAAATTTGACCTTTGTATACATCTGCTATCATGCTAAGTTACTATTGGTCTTCAGTACAATGCTGTATTATTTGTGCATGGAGTTAGGCATGCAATTGCTCATTTGGCATCTTTAAAGCTTGGATCCTGTACATTGAAAAAAAATAAATAGGGTGACAGAAGCAGACAAGCTGTACTCCTGGTTTCACTCTTTTAGATTGATGTCTTGCCTGAAATCGTTGAGGCTGTGGAAGGGAAAGTGGAGGTGTTCCTAGACGGTGGTATAAGAAAAGGCACAGATATTCTCAAAGCATTAGCTCTTGGTGCCAAAGCCGTATTCATCGGAAGACCTCTCATCTGGGGCTTGGCTTATCAAGTAAGTTAGAAAAAGCTCAAATATCTGTTTTTTAGATACCTGTACTCACTGTTTAGGCTTAGTATATGCATGTATGTGTATATGTGTGCGTATAGGGGGGTGTGTGTGATGGTGTCTGTGTGTCCAGACCATCTAATCTAAAATTTGCTATGACAAGTAATCAGGAGTTATGGTTGTACATAAAACTTTGTTGGCACATATATATGTGTATCTACACACATGAGCTGTATGTACACATAATAGTGCATATTGTCTCCTAATCTCCCAGGGTGAAGAAGGAGCAAAAGAAGTTCTCCAGATGCTGAAGGAAGAGTTTCGCCTGGCAATGGCACTGACAGGTGAGACATCAATGCTTCCTCTCAGTAATAATCACTGCTGTCTCATGTTTCCTTATAGCTTTCATTTGCCCTCGGCAAGATTGTGTAGTAACCTACAGAAGGGAGATGGAAATGTTTGCAATATAAACAGATGAGGCTATGGAGAGATGGGGAAAAGACTTGTTATCCTTGTCTTATAGATGGGGAACTGAGTAGATTACGTAAAAATGTTTTTCCCAAGGAGAGCAGTAAATCCATAGAAAAGTAGTGGCAAATCTTCTCTCATTAAGGAGTGAATTTCATCTGGCGGAATGTAGGTTTCTATGGGATAGAAAAAGAAAAGGCTTAGAGCGGGATAGAAAAGCAGGGCTTTCAGCTGATGTGTAACTTCTTCTCCAGGATGCCAGAGAGTAGAAGAAATTGGCAGGACACTGATACGAAGACATCAAGTATCGTTTTCCAAGATTTAGGCATGAAGACTATTGCCTCATGTGTTGCCTGTTGTACAGAAAGCATGCTACCAGACAAAAAGTGACCACGTTCATTCTTTGGGCCTCATCCTGCAATCCTGACTGAGAACGGATGGTCTGTAGGGGATCACCTGAAGAAAGTACTTGAAAATCTTACGGGTGTTTCTGTATTCTCCTAGGCTCTTAATGCAAGCTGCTCTGCTGGGAGTTGTGAGTAGAGATGGGCCTTTATACCCAACCAACATAGAAACTTCAAGGTGTTTTGCAACAAATGCTAATATTAACTTACATGCCTGGAGGTAACTTAGTTGATAAAATTAAACTATAAACAGAAATGTTTTGATAGCAAACAACTATCAAAATGCAGAAACTTAAATTTAAAAGATGCTTCTTGCTCACTGTTTAGAGAAACTACATTGTAAATCATATAGATTAAAGCTTGCTCTCTTAGGAATATAGCGTAATTTCCCTAGCGCCTATGTGCTGTTCCTTTATAAGCATGTGGGCTTGCAACATGTAGCTCAGAGGACTCTTAATTGTAGAGAAATTAACAGCAAAGCAAAACTGGGGAAGTTCTGCTGTTTAAGTGACACAAACCCCTTTGCAGTCAGACAACCATTACATAGGCGCATCAGGTATAGGTCAGATCCTTTGGCTGCTGCAAGTCCTTGTGGCCCTATTTCCTGCACCAAACTGTGCCACCTGCCACCTGGAACCCTGAGTCACGTTTTTCTCAGCTGGAGCCCTGAGTCACATTTTTTCCTCCTGGATTAATTTGCTGACGGTGCAAGCAAAGGCAGATGCTACCTGGGAAAGTTTGTAGGATTTGCAGCCATGTGCAAAAGAGAAACTTGAATAGTTGAGGTATTAACTCATGGCTTGGGAAGATCCCAGTGGCTCTCTTCACTTTCCATGAACACCCTTCAGACAGATAAATCTTAGTGTTAATCACTCTGCTTATGAGGAGGATACAAATACATACAGGATATGCTTCTCTGAACAATCCAAACACACACTGAATTCAGGAGAAATTTTGCAACTGTAAAGAACAGAGGATTGGTTTTATACTGCAAAGTGACCTTTCTTAAAGTGAGCAGGCAGAGGAGGTAAGACTCTGCTAATCTTGTCTTGGGTAAAACTAAGGGTGGCTCTTCATCTGTCTGACTTCTGTGGCAGGTACAGCAATGTTACTGGGAGCAGGGGGAGGCCATTGCAGAAAGAATTTGAAAATATTGTTGTGGAAATTTAGTGCTCATTTTTAAGGAGGATAAAAAAAAGAAAAGCCTTGATTTCACTGTTCCACTGTCACTGACATCACTGTCTCCACCGTTTGTTTCCCATTAGTGTCAGGAGGACTCATGCATTGTGACTCTCCCTTTTTGCTCTGTTTGAAATATCCCTTACTGAGCTTTAGAGGCAGCTTTGTAATAAAATGATGGTATATTACAATGTGAACTAAAGCGGAGGCTGGAACTCAAAATGGGGAGAAAACCCAAAAGGCCACATGCTTGCCCTTCAGTTGTAAAATCTGTACTCTTATTTACTGCAGAATGTAGAGTGTTGTGCGAGGGTTGCGTAGCAACAAAATAAAGTTTATCTGTGTAAGGAAATATGAATGTTTCTCAGAGCATAGAGAAGCATAATTTCTGCTGTTTACTGCACTTATCATATCTGTTGCAATGTGGACTGTGTCAGATGTCAATTACAGACTAACTTCAGAAAGACTGTTTACTTTAGATAATATAAATGTTACTTAAAAGATAGGGGCATAATATCTTATGTTTACATGTTTAAGGTCTATTTCTAAAGTTCAGAAGATGCAGTTTCCTGTCTTTGCCCCAACCAGATTCAAGGAAAGTTCTGTAACTCTGTGGTCCAGGATAAATTCTGATGGTGAGGAAACTGGTTTTGTTACTTTTGCGTGATTAACCATTTCTAGTTCCTCTGGGATAATCAGTTTACATTGTTTTTTCCTGCTTGTTATCTGAGAATTGTCTGACTGCCTTCCAGTTCAACCCTAGTAAGAACAGACGTGCACTGGAAACCAAAATGAGAGCCAAATACTGAAAGGCTTGTGAGACAGCATTAACAGAAACTAAATTCATTTGCCTAGTAGGCTTCTGTTCTTAAAATATTCTACAGTGACAAGAATTACCCTTGATTTTGAGACAACCTAACACAAATGCTTTTGGAAATTATTAAAAAAAAGGTGGGAATTCTGTTTGTGTTAGGTTAGGGTTAGAAAGCAGAAAGACTGAGTGCCCTCGACCATTTTAAAAGCTAAACAGTGCCCAGGTTAAAAAAAATAAAATCTACCTCACAGTTGCTTCACTCAGAGCAACTAAGAAGAAAACATAGCGCACCTAATAGGTGGTGGTGGTAGATCTTTCTACAGTTTGTGAGGGTGTTTCTGAGGAGAATATAAGCAATATGACAGAAGAAAATAATAGGTCTTTATGAGATATGTTAGGTAGAAAAATACAATATTTGCCTCTAAAGTAATAAGTGAGCCCAACAAGCTCTTAGGAACAATTAGTCACAGGCCTCAGATCAAGGTGTGGAAGTAGAGAACAGAAGTTGTATTTCGCATTTATGATGCTTTAGTACATTTGCCTATTTGTATGTCAAATAACAAACACAGCGTCTTGATGGTTTTAATTGCAAAATTATTTTCTGACTTTACCTTGGCTCCATATTAAGCCATAGATACCAAGAAAAAAATGTCTATATAGGAGAAAAACATGTAATAAGGGAGGAACAGTATGTATGTACCCAGAAAGACAGCACTCAACTGGTGTGCTGGGTGCCTAGAAAAAAACAACCCATTTGGGAGCCTGGTGACTGAACAGTAACTGAATGGGGTTCCCTAACCACCTCTGAGGGTAGACCAGGAACATTCCCTGGAAAAGGAGGTTGCAGCTCTTAATGAGAGAATTTTTATCCGATCTTTTGTGGGAAATCAGAAGGAAAACCTGAGAGTATGAAAGAGGAGAAGGATCCTTTACTTTTCAGGAGAAAAGAGTCTTAGCCTCCCAAGAGGCTAAGATGTGAGGCAGGCTGTTACATACTGATGCTTCATATTCAGTCTACACGTGGATTTCTCTGGTGCTGTCAGTTTAGAAGGTCCCCTTTTTGGAAGCGTCCTTGCAAAGTTCTTTCCTTGGCCCCGGTAAGCCCATAGAGGATTAAATTCACTGAAGAGAACATGGAAGAGTGTGGCACTCTACAGAGGATGTGTAGAAACCACTTGGGAGATTTGGAGAGGCTTCAGGCCTGGTTTGGGATCTCAACAACTGGACTCAAGAGACCTATTTCTAACAAGAAGTTCTAAAGAAGACAATCTGTTTCAAAGTGATAAGGTCAGTGAAAGAGCCTGTGACATTGTCTGGACATCTGATAGAGCACATCAAGGCTGGACATGCGGGGAGCAGGGCCCTCCTACAAAAAAACAATACGCTTCTGCAAAAGACCACCTTGAGCTGCAACACATGGGCAGTTTGTGCCAGGCGGACAGGTTTGGCTGCATTGGGAACATATTTGCCGTAAGAGCCTGGCAGTTTAATTCAGCAGAGAGCACAGAGGTGCAGGACTGCAGGCATGGCAGTCTGGTTAGCAGAAGATGGCAGAAATAAGCCGAGGGCTGTGAGACCATCTGACCTTTCACATAAAAAGTGGAGGAGGAGGTTAGTGTAACTTCGGGTCAGATTTTCCTCTCTCACTTAGCCTGTTAGTTCTTTGAAGCAGAGACCTGCTGCTTTTTGAATGCTTGGAGCCTGCGCACAGGGTGGGGAATCCAGTAAGTAAATAATAAGAGTCATAATTCAGTGCACTGAAGCTGAAGAGCTGTGAAAGACATGATCTGTTTTCTTGTGACCTTCACCTCTTGCTGTGACTCTGGGACACGTTATTGTGTTTTATTTTTACTAGTGGCCAAGTCAAACAAATAGCTCTGGAACTGGTAAGAACTCCACCTCTATCTCCAATTTTTCAGGTTAGGCATGAAACTTGTCTGTCTTACTGGGAATTTCTGAACATAAATAAACAGACACTTAGAGTAACTCGCTTTGATAAATGGGCAGCGTAGGTCAGATCCTGCTGGATATGCAGGCAACTCAAAGATGAAGCAGAGCTGGGGAAGTAGGCAGGAATGGCTCTGCTTTTCTTGGCTTCTCAAATGGTTTTCAGGCTGAAATAAAATACTTGAGAGCATGAGGAAAGCTGGCTTCTGGAGACATGATTTTGCACTGAACCTCACTGTAAGGATATCTCTTATAAAGCTACTTTTGATGTGGAAATTTGGCTCTAAACCACACTGAAGGCCATTATAAATAACCACTTCATCACAGGACACACAGAAGTTGGCTTCCTTGAACACTCCTAGAAAGCAAGTCTAACCTTAACCATAACCTCAGCTAGTGTAAATCAGAGAAGCTCCATTGGCTTCATTAGTTTATACTGATTTACACCAGCTGTGACTGTGGGCCACAATACAGCAAGATATGTCCGGTTTTAGAGTCTGTCACTGAGTGTTGAACAAAACTTTTAAAAACAAGATTGGCCATCCCAAATTTAGATACTAATCAGACACAGCACTGTAATTGTTTCACTATGCCTATATGCTGCATTTTGTTTTCATTTTGCCTTGCTTCTGGTTTTCTTATCTCCTGCCAAACAGAGGGAGAGTAGTGCATATGTTACATTCATAACAACGATGTTTTGCTGCTTTGAGAACATGTCCTCCAGATGCAAAATGCTTTCGTGTTGTAGTTCAGCTTCTTTCTTTGCATAGGTGTGTTGGTTATCTGCCAATATAAGAACACCCTTGAGGGCCAGTCCCATGTTTCTCCAGGCCCTGGAGCTCTCAGAGAAGTACCCAGAGGCTGTCCCAGATGAACTTCAAAGATCTGCTTCCCCCTTAGGACTTTCCAGCTCCTAAGTCATCATTTCAGCTGGAGAGGATGAATTGTGTTCGGGAGCACTCTGATAGGAATGCCTTGAGA